CTAGACTAACATTCATATATTGGTCATTTTTGTTCAAAAATTGAAAACTGCACATGTTGTCGTAATTTTTTCCAGCCGTCAACCATCCCATTGGGTATCCAGTCGCCAGATCTTGCCAGGATTCAGACAGTGACTGGGCGCCAGAGGTGCAAGGTGCAGCCAATGTGGAGAAATCTGAAAAGGAGGCATTGAAAGTCCTGTTGCAACCAAATTTTGTGAAAGAAAAGTCTCCGGAGTCGCTTGGCGCCAATGTTTATTTTTGAAACAACATTGCTTTTTGGGATTTCTGAGGTGAACATTGATGGAGTTTATGACAATCCATTTCCATCCATTTCCATTGTGTCAAAACCTTGTACCCCTGAACATCAAAATAGCTGGTAAATGGATGTTCATCCCCCTAAAAATGGTATTAATAGGTATTGATCCATACCCATCTTGAATTTTTCCAGTGAAGGAATTGCAGCATTGATGGTCCCATAGGTAGCAAAACATAGCAAAACCCATCCCCCACGCCGGGCCCATTGCCGGACCTCAGGTCCTTGCAGAACCAAAAAGAAGCGGATGCGGCGGGCCGAATGCTTCATGAGCTGCGAAGGCAGATTGAATGGATTTTTTGACTGTGATGGTATATCATATCCATTTATATGAACATATAAAAGAAATAGTGGACACTATATATAGACTAGATATACATTTAATATAATATACGTGTGTATATATATATATATGATTATATATGTATACACATAAAAACATATGTGATGTATATTTGTATCTCCAGCAATTTCCAGTTGGAACCCCCTACCATTGCCATTCTTTCGAGGCCTCCGACTTGGGAGGAGGTGAAGTCGGAGATGCCGCGAGGTCCCGAGGTGGACCCCGATCTCTTGGAAACCCCATCCTACCGAGACATGTCACAGGAGGAGGCTCTGGATCTGGTGCGCAGAGGCTGATGGAGCTGATGCGGGGCCCCAAAAAATTTCCATGGTTGTCTCAGCAAAAATGGGGGAAATATATGATTTTATTGAAGAACAATTACATGAACGTAGTCTGTTAATGTGTATTTTTGAAGAAAATCAAGTATGTTGCCCTGAAACCCAGAGATGGGTTGCAAATCACCAAATTTTTCTGAAATTGGTTCAGACGGTCTGCAAGTGCTGGATTTCTATTGTGTTGCATTACGAGAAAGGACACGATAGCTGCGCTTGTGACGGAAACCAGGCAGCCCCTTGCAGGTGCCACGGTGAATTTTCAAGGTCAACATGGGCGAACACCTCTGCACAAGGCGGCCGAGAAGGCGTTTCCAGTGTTGATCAAGGCTCTTTGTGAAGCTAGGGCAGATCCTGATAGCCGAGATCACTTTGGTGCCTTGCCGCAAAAAAAAAACCGGTGCCAATTAAAAGAACGGTTGGGGTCTCTGCAAACTCAGCTAGACAACATGATTGTAAACTGATGATCTCATCCGTAATGACTTAAGAAGATCACATATTATATAATATCATATTATTCAAATCTGTTTACTAGGCAAAAACAGATCATGCAGGTATGCTAGATCCCAGTTTATCCAGAGTCAAAGCCCAGACAGTGGCTCTGTCCCAGACATGGGTCCAATTTTTGGATTCAGCCCTGGATTTTGATGAAAACCACCAGGCTGTTTATTTCAGAGGTAGCACTTTAGTGCAGATCAAAATCACCATTTTCTTGAGGGTGGCTGGGTAGCTCCCCAAGAAAAAAAAACGGCCCCGTTGAGGTGAGACACCCCTGCACGTTATCGCAAAGTCAGGGAGCTTGGATGAAAACATTTCCAAGTCGCGGAGATGTGATGCTGGGATTGATACATGGTGGGATTGTTGACTAAAATTGACCAGGAAAGCCACGTGGCTTCACCCAGCAAATCCGACTTGTTTTTGGTTCTGGTAGGAATTAGGATTTTTTTTGGTTGGTTGATGCCAGGTTCGTTTGAAATCCAGAGTTCACTCAGTTGGGTTGTCCGATTTTCGTAGTGCCTATTAATTCGATGCACTCTCATGTATGATAGAACTGTGATTTTTACTAAGCAGTTCGTTTTTGAAGCTGAAGCGTTGGTTGCAGCTCCCAGGAAGCCATTCAAATGCTGCTGATGCAGGGCGCCGATGTGCATGCGGTGAACCCTCGGGGCCGTGGTGTGCTGCATCTGGCAGTGACTGAACATGATCTCCCAGCCATTGAGACACTGATCGAGGGCATGGCCGATGTGATGCTCGGCAGTACCTGGTACCTGGCAGTCCTGAGTTTCGGTGTTGCTGAGGACCACGAAGTTCAAATGGGTTTGTCTGAAAATAGGGTATATTCCCAATTATAGCCATTTAATAGGGATAATGATCATTAACCATTGGGTTTAGGGGTACACTATTTTCAGACACACCCAAATCAACATGGACTGCGTTTCAAAGAAATCACTTCTGGGTGAGTTGGGGCTCTCCACAATTTGAGGCTCAAAGTAGTTTTTCGAACTCACAAGAGTTTATCTACATGACTGAAATGTATGCGTATATTATATTTACATATGTATATATATATTTTGTAATCACTATTTTTAGTTGCCGACTCTTAGTTCCTGACTCAGCCCGTTTAGTTGCCGACTCAGCCCCCGACCATATTTGTCTACCCTGGGCTAAACCTGACATAGATGTAGAAAACCAATGGTTTCCCTAGGAACATGATCTGCAAATGGTAGCTTCTCCACATCTATGCTAGTTTACAGGAGACAATAGTATATACGTAGGTATATATATATATAGAGGTGTATAATTATATATATACATAGGTATATATATATAGGTATACGTATAGGTATATATATATGCTCCAGGCCCTGCCACCCCCCCCCTCCCCCCCCCCCATGGGTGGGTACCCCCCTCCCCCCTGTGGTCATGGGTGTTTCCCCCTCCCCCCCTGTGGCTGGTAGTGGCCTTGTATGTCCATACCCATGTCTTCGTCTTTGCATGCTGGTATGGTATGTTGGGTATGTTTCACATGTATGGTATGTGTGGTATGCATGATAGGTAAGATAGGTATGGTATGCATGGTTACTATGATGGGTATGGAATGTTTCCTATGTAAGGTAGGTATGGTATGTATGGCATGTATGCTTGGAATTGTATGTATGGTAGGTGTTGTGATTATGTTTCATATGTATGGTATGTGTGGTATGCATGATAGGTAAGATAGGTATGGTATGCATGGTTACTATGATGGTTATGGAATGTTTCCTATGTAAGGTAGGTATGGTATGTATGGCATGTATGTTTGGTATTGTATGTATGGTAGGTGTGGTGATTATGCTTCATATGTATGATATGTGTGGTATGCATGATAGGTATGATAGGTATGGTATGCATGGTTACTATGATGGGTATGGAATGTTTCCTATGTAAGGTAGGTATGGTATGTATGGCATGTATGCTTGGTATTGTATGTATGGTAGGTGTTGTGATTATGTTTCACATGTATGGTATGTGTGGTATGCATGATAGGTAAGATAGGTATGGTATGCATGGTTACTATGATGGGTATGGAATGTTTCCTATGTAAGGTAGGTATGGTATGTATGGCATGTATGTTTGGTATTGTATGTATGGTAGGTGTGGTGATTATGCTTCATATGTATGATATGTGTGGTATGTATGACATGATAGGTATGATAGGTATGGTATGCATGGCATCATGTTAATGTATGGTAGGTACCAAATATGTTAAACACATATTGTCGGGGCTTAGCACACAGGTAGTAAAGAGGGAGCGTTGATACATAGCACATGTATATATGAGTATATATACGTGGCCTTATAGGCTCGTACCTATGGCTTCGTCTTTGCATGCTGCCATATACTGCCCCCATATGAGATCTTCTCTCTCCCCCCCCCGTGGTGTGGTGGGGGTGTGGTACTGTCCTCTCTCCCCCCTGTGGTGTGGTGGGGGTGTGGTATGGTATGTTGAGTATGTGTGGAGTGTTTGGTCGGTTTGGTATGGCATGTTTGGAAAGTATGGTATGTTTGGTATGTATGGTAGGTATGGTATGTATGCCATGAATGCTTGGTATTGTATGGATGGTAGGTATGGTATGTAAGTCTGTTGTGTATGGTATGTTTGATATGACAGTATGTATGGTATGCATGGTATGTATGGTTACTATGATGGGTATGGAATGTTTCCTATGTAAATGTAGGTATGGTATGTATGGCATTCATGTTTTCCATATGAGATCTTCATCCGCTCCCCCCCCTTGTGGCTGGCAGTGGCCTTATGTGTTCGTAGCTATGTTTTACATATATCATATAGTGGGGTCATGTTTACCCCCATCATCTGATTGTCCGTGCTTGCTCTACAGAGACTTTGCGATGTGATCACCGATGCCGCTCGACCTTTCCGCTGGAGTTTATGTGGGGCAAGGCACGGGGGCATGACTGGGCAGATGACAACAAGACAAAGAAAAAAAATCAAATCCAGCGTGTGTGAATACAAAACCAGTCTTCATATAGATCCAGCATATAAACCCGTGCATGAGACAGATATATATATATATGTGTGAATATATACGGACACACACAGATATATATATATATATGGACATTTGAATGCTTTGATGCATCGATATATAATTGCCTGCACATGACACAGATACCTATATATGTATATATATATAGATATATGGTGATACTTTCTATGTGAATCTGTCATAATAAGAGACTCGGAGCGATCATGGCCAACCGTCTGGACATTGATTGAGACAAGAGACTGGGTGGCAAGAAGGGGAGATGGCGCCACATACGGTGAAGACACATACGGGGGTTTGGGCCTGGAAAAAGTCTTACAGAGGGTTTTTGGTGGCTTGAAGATGTAAGTACCTACCAGCTGCTAGTTTGGAATCCCGGAGCGTTTTGCATTACCTCTAGCTTTAAACAACGGCATCCAAATGATACACATTGGTGACACATGTGGCAGCTGCCAGCTTCGCTCAGGACGGACTTTGCCGTAGCCGAGTGAGACGCCCGTGCCGTATCTGCAGACCACATCCGTGCGAGACACTACACGGCAGGACAGTGATGTTTGGTCCCTGGTTAGACTGCCCCAAAGCAAAACACGGACGGGTATTGTTCATTACATAGGGCGAGCTTGGGGGATACGTTCTGGCATTTCTAGATGGCAGTGGTATACCTGATGTCGGACAAAAAGGTAAGCAAGGACGAACCGGTTTTGGAGACTACTTGTTGACGCATGTGGCAGCTGTCAGCTTCGCTCAGGACGGACCTTGGCGTGGCTGAGTGTGGCGCCTGTGCCGTGTCTGACAGACAGATCAGCAAAGACGGACAGGTTTTGGATTCTATTTGTTGACATAGGGCGAGCTTGGGGGGTAAGTTTTGGAATTTGTAGATCGCAGTGGTATACCTGATGTCGGACAAACAGGTGAGCAAGGACGAACACGTTTTGGTTTCTACTTGTTAACAGCACACTTCCACCGAATGAAGTCATTCGGACATTACCTTGGTGACACATGTAACAGCTGTCAGCTTCGCTCAGGAGGGACGTTGGCGTGGATGAGTGTGGCGCCTGTGCCGTCTCTGCAGACCACACCTGTGCGAGACACGACACAAAAGGACAGTGATGCGTGTTCCCTCAGTTAGAGTGTCCAAAAAAAGGCTAGGCCGGGTATTGTGCATTAATCATTATGGTCATTGCAGGGGCACATACACTTGGTCCCATCTTTTTGTCACTGTTTTCGGATACCATCTACCATCTCTGCAGCGCAGGATCTCGAAGCAGCCCTGACATTCATTCGCAGTTTCCCAGACTGCAGCAGTTGGAACATCTTGCTCCTCGATCAGGAGCGGAAAAATGCCCTGGTGCACAGACCGCAGCTGAGCACGCAAGCACTCCTCGCAGAGTTATCGGTGCCTTGCCATAGCCGATCTCGGTGCAGCACCGTCAAAATGTCAGATCGACACAAATATCCTGCGTATACTATATATAAGCTGTTTGTTTCGGCCCTATCCATGCCACTACAAGCTATTTCCAATCATTTCCTCGCTGTCTTGTTATTCGGACCTCACAGAGCCTATGCTTTGACCACGCTGAGGTATGGATGAAGCTGCCGTGTCACTTCTTCATTCGCCCAAATCTCAATTCAGTAGTCATGATCGACCTGGACAACTTCACTGGCTCCCTCTCCAAACTTCTGCAGTTGCATCCGCGCGCATTGGTGCAGACTAGCAGACAGAGCTATCAGCTTTGGCTGACTTTGGACCAAAGGCACCAAGCCAGAGACGCACAGATTGTGACGCAGGAGCTCACCAAGGCTTTGGGGGGCGATCCATGCTCAGCCCGCATCACCCAGGTCGGGCGCTTGCCCGGCAGCATCAATCGCAAGCCGGAGAAGCAGTGTCACACCCATTTATTGTATTCTGGCTTGGCGAACTTGGACGAAGCTCAGTACCTGCAGCTCACAAGCAACCCTCAGATGCGCTTGCAGCATCATAACGAGCCCCGCCCGAACCCGAAGTCGAACCTCCCCCACCCCCCCCTCAAAAAAAAACGGTTCGCTGGGCTAATGAAACAGTTTTCGGCAGTAGGATTTGTACAAATATTGCTCGCAATGACCACCGAAGCCGAACCCGTACCCGAACCCGAACCCGAAGTCGAACCTCCCCAACCGCCCCTCGACCAAAAAAAAAAGTTTTCTGCAGCAGGATTTGTACAAATATTGCTCGCAATGACCACCGCAGCCGAACCCGACGCCGAAGCCGAACCCGAAGTCGAACCCCCCCAACCCCCCCTCGACCAAAAAAAACAATTTTCTGCAGCAGGATTTGCACAAATATTGCTCGCAATACCCACCGAAGCCGAACCCGAAGCCGAAGCCGAACCCGAAGTCGAACCCCCCAACCCCCCCTCGACCAAAAAAAACAATTTGCTGCAGTAGGATTTGCACAAATATTGCTCGCAATGCCCACCGAAGCCGAACCCGAAGCCGAAGCCGAACCCGAAGTCGAACCTCCCCAACCCCCCCTCGACCAAAAAAAAGTAGTTTTCTGCAGCAGGATTTGCACAAATATTGCTCGCAATGCCCACCGAAGCCGAACCCGAACCCGAAGCCGAACCCGAAGTCGAACCTCCACAACCCCCCCCTCGACCCAAACAAACAGTTTGCTGGCATGATGCAGCAGGATTTGTGCAGATATTGGACCACCGAAGCCGAACCCGAACCCGAAGTCGAACCTCCCCCACCCCCCCCTTCGAACAAAAAAGCAGTTTGCTGGCATGATGCAGCAGGATTTGTGCAGATATTGGACCACCGACGCCGAACCCGAACCCGAAGTCGAACCTCCCCAACCCCCCCCTCCACTACAACAAACAATTTTGTAAGCGTTCCATGGCAGCAACATTTGTCAAAGACCCTACCCTATCGATGTGGTCTGCCCCCCCCTTATATATATATATATTTTTTTTTTCCCCCCCCCTCGGTAGCTCAAGTATAACGTGTGTCTTTCCTCATTCCCAGGCAGTCTGGCTTCTGTTTGCTAGCGGTAGCTTCCACATACATCTTTTTTATCCTCCTCTGACCTTTTTCCCCTGTGACTTGCCCATAGAAGACCAACCCCCTCTGGCAACATGCTGTTGTCCCAGCTGACTTGCCCATAGAAGACGAACCCCCTCTGGTAACCTGGCCCTGCCGGCATGTGGTTTCGGGCGGTCCTGGTGCGCCAATGTGAGACGGTGTCGGATACACCCCTCGCAAACTACTGCCAGGCCCACCTACGATATCCCTCATCAGAAAAGCAGAAGAAGAAGCCATGCAAACTACCTTTTTCAAGGCACTGCGCTTCCTGCATACTTCCTGGCCATGCACGCAGAAAAACATTCCTGCCATGACCTGACTTGTCATAACTGCTTGCTTTCCTTTCCTGCTGTGACAACGCCACACAGGTGGATGATACGGCCCACCTACGCTGCAACCTGGCCCTCCTGGCATGTGGTTTCGGGCGGTCCTGGTGCGCCACTGTGAGATGGTGTCGGATACACTCCTCGCAGCGGCAATCCTCGGCCGCTGTCCCACTGCTCTCTGGCCATGCATGCAGAAAAACTACTGCCAGGCCCACCTACGATATCCCTCATCAGAAAAAGAACACGCAGATGCAGCAAACGAAGAAGAAGCAGAAGCAGAAGAAGAAGAAGAAGAAGACGAAGAAGAAGCAGAAGAAGAAGCAGAAGCAGAAGCAGAAGAAGAAGAAGAAGAAGAAGAAGAAGAAAAAAAAGCAGAAGAAGACGAGGAGGACAACAAAGACAAAGACGTCACCAGCGAACAGACATGCGGAGGAGGAGGATAAAGAGGAGCGAACATACACAGGCTCACGTCGTCCCTGGCCTGCTCATAACAAATCCAACACATGGGCCGACAATGATTGCTCCACCGCAGTAACACCCGAACCAGAACCCGAACCTCCGACCCCGACGTCACCCCGCAGTCGCATCCCACGCCGAACCCGAAGTCGAACCTCCTCCCCCCTCCTCCCGCCCCCCTCTTCCCCCCAAGAGGGACAAACGTTCAAACAATCTTTGGTGAACCGAAACCCGCGTCGAATCTCCAAAGCGAACGTCGCCGCCACAGCCGAACCCGAAGTCGCACCTCCTTCCCCCCTGCCCATACAAGTAGCACCTGAACCCGAACCCGCCGTCCAACCTCATAACCCGAAGTCGAACCCGAACCTGGCCCCCCCCCCATTATACTGTGTACAGATCCCGCCTTACACGCAAACCTCTCTCTCGCAGAACAACTTTCGCGAACCTCCGAACCCGAAGTCCAAGTCGAACCACTTCCGAGGTGGCCGCGGTTCTTCCGTCTCTTCTTCCACGTCCATCCCCGAACCCGAAGCCGAACCCGAACCCGAAGTCGAACCTCCTTCCCCCCCTTGCCCAAAGAAGCAGCACTTGAACCCGAACCCGCCATCGAACCTCCGAACCCGACGTCGGCCCCGAACCTGGTCCCCTCTCTGCCGCAGTACAACTCTCGCGAACCTCCGACCCCGAAGTCGAAGTCGAACCACTTCCGAGGTGGCCGCGGTTCTCCCCTCTCTTCATCCCCGTCCAACCCCGAACCCGAAGTCGAACCCGAAGTCGAAGTCGAACCACTTAGAAGGCGGCCGGGGTACTTACTGTGCAGCATGGAAGTGTTCAAACCGACTCGGCACCGCCCAAACGGGACATCAGCCGCGACGACTGGAGAGAGGCTTGCCACTTTTTCGAGTCGAATCCGCAAGCAACTTTAGAGGATGCCATCCAGCACTGTCCTTTGCTGGCCAAACGAGGTAACCAGGCGCATCCGACCGGCTTTGTCACAATTGTGTCCCGCTTTTGTTCTCAGCCATCCTATATAACTTTTAATAAGAGCTGCCTCATCTTACCTATGTGCGACAATCGATACTTCACTTTGGTCATGTTGCCCTCTCCTTGTTTTATAGCTTCTAGCACATGTGCACTCAGGGACCTTTGTTTCACCCACCACAGTGCTGCCCCGTTGTTTGTCAGGACTACTACGCCCGACTGACACTGAACAAGGCCATGAACCACGTTCGTGCTAAAGGAGCTTCAGCTTCGGCAGGGTCACGCCAGCCTTCCGCTTCAGTGGAACCGCCCAGTGGGGCCCAAGCCTCGGGCATGGCGCCTGCGGCTCCGCAGTACGTCACACTGTCTCAAGTGCAACAAATAGTTCAGGATGCTCTGCAGCGACAATCCGCTAGCAGTTCCCATAGCACCAAGACCTGTGCCTAGGCTGCATTCCTCCAACGGCATCTATACAGACATACATTGAAACCAGTTTATACGATACATGGGAACCGATGCTCTCCACTCCACGTCCGCCGTGTCCTGCGGCCGCTGCTAAGGTCACCAATGCAAGGCGAACAAGAACAGAGACCTGTTTTCTCACACGCAGTGGCTGCAGAAGGATGGCGTGTGTCTAGCATGCCGACCTGTTGAGGAAAGATTCCGACGCAGAGCTTTATCTGGCAAAGTTTGCGCTGCCTGTGAGATAGAGAAGCCTCGAGATCAATATTCCAACACGCAGTGGGAGAAAGGAACGGCTTCCAAGTGCATTGCTTGTTGCTCGACACCGCAGGCAAACAACGCCAAAGTATGGGTCAGAAGTTGCGTCCAATGCTCGCAGCCGCTTCCCAAAGAGAGCTTCTCGAAGACACAATGGGGTTCTAGCCGTCCCAAGTGCGAAAAGTGCTGCACAAAGAACCTCAATCAACGCAAACAGGACTTTGCCGATGCAAGTGCCGCTGGGCAGCAGCAGCCGGAATCCTTTTTGTGGCCAGCTGGAACTACTGCAGAGGTGGCAGCACGCTGGATCTTAGAAGCTCCCATGACTGACTTGCCAAGTGAGAGCTTGAAGACAAAGCAAGCTCTTTTAGCCAAGCAAGGCAACCCAAAGTGGAGCTCCGTAGCCATGGGCAGGCAGCAGTTCACAGTGGATGCAAAGAAGAAGTTGTCTTTTTTGGAGGCAGCCCACAGAGATCTCGAGCATCAAGGCGCCAGAGATGGAATCGTGAGTGCTCTTCAATCCTCTGGAGTGGCGTGGCCCAACTGCAAGCTCGATGCGCAATTTTTTGTCGAGAGATGCCAGGCATGCGTATGTTTCTACCTGTTGCCCTTTCGAATCAGAACTCACCTATCTCACATATATGTGGGTCAATTCATATTCCATGTATTTATATGAAAAAGAACCCTGCTAGTATACATAACTATATGTTTTGGTTTGGGGCGGGATTACCTTTCGATGTCGCTCGATAGATGTATTATCCTATTGCTGCTCCACCCAGAGAACGCTGGCCCTTAGTTGCTGCTGCTGTTGTTGTTTTTGTTGTTGCTGTTGTTGTCGTGTGAAATATGCACTTTTCTCCCACGTCACTTCACCATGCCCAGTACTTCAATGTACTTTGGCTCATGCTGCATGGCTCAAGCACGATACTTTGGTAGCAGAGGTAAGAATAAACTTTGAGCCTGTGGGACTTGAGTGGCCTACTTTACAGTAGCTAGTCACCTTGTTTGCTCAGTAGTATTTAGAGACATCTACTTTAGCACGCTAGTGCCTAACGTGGCATTCTGGACCCGTGAGAAACACTATCAGAAGCTAACTTTTCTTCGTTTCCCCTCACGCGCTCCCCTTCCTCACGCCTGGGGTCTGCGGATGTGAATATATATATAAATATATATATATACACATATGGATAGATATGTATATATATAGGGATATAAATATATATAATTATACATATATATATGTTTAACTATATATAAATAAATATATATATATATGTGGATATATATACAATTACATATGGATTTATATAAAACTATAGATGGATATATATATAATTATATATGGATATATATATATGGAAATATATTTAAATATATATATATATACATACGCATGCTTCGATTCATTTATGCATAGATAATATCTATATTATACATTTCGTTGCTGCGAAAGAATTCAGGTAGTAGGAGGTGCTTGTTTCCTCCCATTGAAAGTCATGCCCTCGAAATCCACTGCAGCCGCAGGTTTGCAGACAAAACACTTGCAGGGACCTCCAGCAGCCAAGACCGCGGCACTTGCCAGTGCCTGGTCAAGCTGGAGATGTCGTGGGCTGGGATTTAAAAACCATGACGCCGGTGTCAGGCGGCAAGTGGAACCTTCTGCTCGCATGCGATTTCACCTCTGGACGGGTACTTTGCTTTGACATCGCATTTTTATTTTCTGAGAGCCTGCATTTGTTTCTTCACACATGTGTTCCACTGTGTTCCCGGCACTGCATCGACCCAAACTCGTTTTTCTTTTGTCTTTCTTGACACCATATGCCATATCCCATCATCTACGCATTCAGCTGCGCCCAGGCATGGAGCTGGGATTTGAACTTCAAAGGTGCCACACTGCCGGCCGTTCAAGACATTATGATCAAGTTTTACACCGACGTTGATCTCCCAGTAGCAAGCTGGACAGATAACGCTGGAGCATTCAGGAACATTATTTCTGCAGCCATCGAGGCCACCCTTGGGGTCCGTGCTCGGACAATACCCCCTGGGCGGCCGCAATCAAACGGCCTCGTTGAATGCAGAAACAAAATCTTCGACGCAAGCTGCGGTGGACAGCGAGCACGTCTTGCTGCTGCGACAATCGCATACAACCAGAAGAACACGGCCGTTGGCTTGCCTCCAGAGACGATCTGGCGACTACTGAGGCCTCAAGAATCTCGTTGGCGCAACATGCACCTGAAGAATGCAATGGAAGAACCTTCAGCTCTCACCGAGGAGGAATGGGTTGCTTACTTGGATGCCAAGCAGTATGACAAGGAGTCTCTGGAAGAGAAAGCCAAGTCCTTGCATCAGCTCATCCAACCCCTACGCAATTCTATTTCTTCAAAGAAGTTACGACAGCGGATGAAAAGCCAACTGAAATGGATCCGCAAGAGACCCAACAAGACCGCAATGCCACTGGTGGCTGGCGACATGGTGCTCAGCAGGAACACTCAATATGTGGCAAAAAGCGGACCACGGAAGTTCGAGACGACTCAAGAGGGTGTGGAGACCTTCGAAGTGCTCCAGTGCCGCCAAGGCTTTGCAGAAGTCAAAAATCTCCGCACTGGACAAGTCTCTTGGAAACACGAAGCCAATTTGAAACTTTGGCCGAGATCTATGCCTCCAGATGATGCCTACTTCCCAACGCCTCTGAAGGGCCCTGGTGCACCTTGCAAGCGACCTGCTCCAGCATTTGAGGTCATTGCAGCTGAAGGTGACGGAGCTTGCCTCTTTCGTTGCTTCAGCATGGCCCTTCAAGCGAGAGCCGGTGTCCCCGCAAAGGCCATTGTGGATAGCACCGAGAGTGCGATGAAGTTGCGAGAAGAGATTCTTCGCCACATGGAGCTGTCGCTACAACGAATGGACGGCGATAGCATGGCACTCTTGCAGGAGCAGATTCGCTTGGAGATGTGGGACGATCCAGGTTGGATGGAAGGACCAGGAAAGGCTGCCTGGAACTGGAAGAACTATTTCCAGTACATGCGCCATCCGAGGGCATACGGGACAGCAGCTCACATTGGTGCGTTCAGCGAGACCAAGGGGATCGCAGTTGTCATCTACGAAAATGGCCACAAGATATGGACAACGAATGACAGCAACAACCCAATCGTGCTGCAGAAGACCGGCCTGCACTATAACCTGCTGCTTCTGCGCCGCTTGAGACGCAAAACGCGGCTCTGACTGTCGTCCGACGAAAGGTAAAAGAAATTGCAGCATCTTACCACCGATCATTTCTTGGATGGAACATGTTGAATGACCGATCATTTCTTGGATGGAACATGTTGAATGATGTTGAACGCTGAATACCAAACCTGGGACCCAACTTTGCTACACCATACTTGACCGGTGACATAGATCGGAACACAATGGGGATCATGGATCCCCAGAGGCGAGCTACCCCCTCCCCCCCAACCCATGGGGGGGGGGTGGAGAGACGGAGGACGGGACCATATATAGGTATATATATATAGGTATATATATATATATAGGTATATATATATATATGTATATATATATATATAGGTAGATATATACATATATATAGGTATATATGTATATAGGCATATATATATATAGGTATAGGTATATATGTATATAGGTATATATATATATAGGTATATAAAAAAAAATATATATATAGGTATATAAATATATATAGGTATATATATATATAGGTATATATATATATATAGGTATACACATGCATATACATCAGTTGACACCCAGAATTGAGGTCTTGTGCAGGGTCCTGGGATCACCCAAGGAATGCGCAAGATCTGGCAGGCTTCACACCTCTAATGTGGGCTTCTGGTAGAGATAGCGCAGATGGTGTTAAGATGCTCTTGGATTGCGAGGCTGGTGATTTTTGATGTTGGATTGTTGATGTTTTTTTTGGTCAGATTTGGTCATAGATTCACACATGGTCTACCTCGACATATCTAGAACAGTGCAACATCATTCTACTTGAATCTCGTAGACCAGATTTCAGAATAGGTATTGCTAACATTTGTTTAACGTGCTGCTGGTTCTAGATGTGCAGATGTACACTTTACCCTCTGGTAAACTAACATAACTATGGAAAATCACCATTTTTAATGGGAAAATCCACTATAAATGGTCATTTTCAATTTCATTTACCAGAGGGTACCGTCCAAGAAACATCGATGTCGGAGAGGCTGACTTGGCAGTGAAAGCTGCGCGGGGTCAAACTGCGATGACCTTTGCGTTGACCAACGGCTGCAACGCCATTATGGATATCTTGGATAAGCACCAAGCGATTCTCGACGCGGAAGAGGCGTGGTGTTGTGGGGTCCCCGGCCAAGCCATGGCCACCCATGGCCCCTTCAGCCAGATCCATAAATGAATCCAGAGATCTTAAATGGTCAGCCAATGATATGTGGATGGGTCAAAACCCTGTACCCCTGTAGTTCACATCAAAATAGCTGGGATTTATGGATGTTCATCCCCCTAAAAATGGTATTAATAGGCATTGATCCATAGCCATTTGAACATTTTTCAGCTACACATGGTGACCCTCCTGCGGCTCCAACCAGGCCCGGAGAATCAAGGAGAAAGGCGAAGGATGCCATGGAGCTGAGGAGGCCAAGGGGAGATTTTTGAAAACACGGGGGGATTTTTTTTTGGGTTACCCTCTGGTTATGTCAGACATAGCTATTGAAAATGGCCATAGAAATAGTGGATTTTCCCATTAAAAATTGTGATTTTCCATAGTTTTTTGTATGTTTACCAGAGGGTATTTTCAGACTGTCGGCCATTTTGGGGCTTCTGAAGAGATGGATTTGGCTGTTGAAATTTTGAAGAGCTCAGAAAATCTTCACATCAGGTTTTGCCACGCTTGTAGTGATGGGGTGACTTGGAGTGACCTGTGGCAATGTGACTATCCTACGATTTTTCGGTTGCTACAAAGTCGCACTGGGAGTGATAGGACCATGACTGGAACCAGCTGTAAGGCGAGCTGGATCTCATGTTCTTAGCTCCTGGGTTTCTTTTGAAGAAACCATCAAAGACATGCTACATGCCATTAAGGTCCATTAAGTCATTAAGCAAAGCGGATGATCCAATGTTACAACCTCCATCTCCATGGATCAGGAGGAATGGACTGAGACTTTGCAGCTTCCAAAGCCTGACTGGGCCTGCAAGCATGAGAAGCCTGCGAACATGGAACCCTATGCAGGGCGCAGGATCTATGCAGAAGCCAAGCCCGACAGGCTGGGTTCGGGTGAAGCTTTCCAGATTCCAGGGCTTTCCAGGGCTTTCCAGGGCTTTCCAGGGCTCACAGATATCATGTCAGGCTGTCAGACCTCTTGGCTGTGTGGGATCCAACCCGTGGTGTGACACTGTGACGACACTGTGACACCGCGCTGTAGGCACTCCAATGTGTACGTGGGCGCCATGCAGCGCGCATGAGCCCGTCAGAGTTGCGGTGCTGTGGACGAACTCCGTTGCGGTGCCCGAAAAAAGGCTGCGTTCCATGGCTGGGAAACAATGGGAACACACATACATCAATAAACATTAATAAACATTAGCATTAATCAGTTGGGAAATTGTGAAATGGTGACACATAAAACATCAAACACGGGCGACATTTGGCTCGAGCTATGCTTCTGCTCTGACCATTTTTTCTTTTGAACAATTCTTGCTGCATGCTGGCCTCGACATGAGTCAAGGCGCCGCGAGGGAGTGGTTTTTTTTGCATGGAATTGTTGTTGCCCCCAAGGTGTTAGCTGTTCGGTATGAGTCGGTACAGCGTCTATGCATTTATTCAGACATTGTTTCTCTCAGTTCAAGGATTCTACATTGCTTCGGTAGTGGATGTAGTGGCATCAACGTGCAGCCCTCCGTGCAGGGCTGGGGCCATCGCATGGTTTATGATGCGAACGTGGAAGAAGGTGCCAACCGAAGGGATGAGCTGGAGAATGGGGGATTGGCTTTAGCCATTTGTGGCTGCTTCAAAGTTCCGGAATTTCATTTGTGAAGTTCTCTGGCTGCGGCTTCTTTGATAGTCTACAAACATCTACAAACTAAAACTGTGAGAATTGGAAACTACAGCTGAAAGCAAACATCTACAAACATCTACAAACATCTACAAACATCTTCTTTGATTGTCTACTATACTAAAAATATTCTAAAAATACTAAGACTCTAGCTGAAACATAAATTTTTGCCTTCTGGATGAAGTTGAGATCAGGACGAAAGTCTTTGCCGAGGTGAGCCTCCTACGTGGCCTACTCTGCTAAAGCTGGGGGAACCCAGTGCATGTGATGGATAGAATGGGTAGATTGGGAAGTGCATTTTCTCGGGTTTGGGTTGGCTTTCGGGATATCTTTAGCGTGAGAAGATGTTTTAGAAGTGCTCTTGGACTCTTGGCATTTCTGCATTCATGTAGCTTCATTGCGACAAGGTGGCCCCTCCTGTTTTTGTCTGGAAGAGGATTCCAGCTGATCTGACCATATTTCTTTGATTCCATTGATTTCAAGAGAGCAGGTCTCAGGGCGAAACGCTAACCCTTCCTATTGCAACACTCGGTGAGCTTGGTCTTTCCCCGCCACTTTGTTACAGGTGGCAGAAGAAGGCAGGAGTTCGCGGAGTCGCCAATTGGGACGTTTGTCCAAAATGAAAAGAACTGAGCAAGTATGAATTGTCACTTTATCAATCACCAGTTATCAATCTTTATCAATTATCGATTGAATAGCAGTCCCAATCTTCCATAATTCTCCCAAATCTCACCAATGAATTTCAGTAAATCCCAGTAAAAATCCCCGAAAAATCTCGACGCAGACCGCGTGGCTGTGGCGCTGCTGTCGACGTTTTAAGCCAGGCCGAGGGACCCCAGAAGGTCACCGAGTTGTCTTGGGATGCTCTTAGTAAAGATATGAGATCTTAGTATAATACATACATCCATGTATATAATATATAATAATATTATATATAAATAATTAATAACAATTATATATATATGTATCTAAAACTATAAGTATATATATATATAAGTATAGTGTATACTTTATATATACACATTGTATGTATACAATATATATATAGCATATGTATATATGTACTCATTGTATATACGTCACAATGTTTGACTGAGGTGATGAAGAGGACCTTGAAGCAGGACGTTGTTGGGACGGCTTTCGCATTGGAACATGGGTGATGACCTGTTGATTCCCAAGTCTCAGATGCCAGTGCTATCCCAAGGTCCTAAGCAGTTCTGAACGACAGGAGTCGCACAGGTGGGCAAAAGTCAAAGCAAGATCAGCAGAGGCCCTTGGGTATTCGCCAGGTGCTGTCCCACTGGGTTTGGTCAAAAGTAGGACATCCAAATCCAGTGATTGAGCATCTCATCATTTTCACCATGATCAATGGCCTTAGCAAAAAGAGCTAAAACCAATTTTCAGATACACCGGTATCGATCCTCTTGAAGGTAGGCTCCGGTTTTTTCAGTCTTGGCATCCAATCCAAGCATTTTTTTTTTGGGGGGGAGAAGACATTTTTTTTAAAAAACCACTACCAATTTTTCTTGTCGCCCACCTGATGGCAGATGTGTATATGTATATATATATATACACATGTATATTCATTCACACCACACTTTGCAAATTCTAAATTCTATGTAACGATATGTATATACATTTACACGATCTAATACATTTTTTGAAATACATGTATAATATCAGATATACAGACACATACATATCTTCCAGACATAAATACACACACATATATAGATTAAAAAACCAGTGAATGATAAAAAACATGAATAAATAGATAAATTTATAGAACACAACCAAATGAATACTGATTGGTGGTTTGGAACATTTGTTATTTTTCCATATATTGGGAAGAATATTCCCAACTGACTGCCATATTTTTCAAAGGGGTTGAAACAACCAAATGAATAAATATCTCTGTATACATCCTGAAAGGTTGGTGTTTTCTCTGGTCCTTGCGCTCTTCGAGGCAACTCTGTGAGCTTCGCCAGTGCTCCCTCCACGACTTCCGCCAATGAAGAGCGGGGATCCCGAAAAGATCCCGGGGACTTTAAGCAACAAAAATAGGTATTTGAATCCAATAATTATAATATATTTGTCCATTGATTATGGTGATAAATGTGATCATCATTTTTTAAAAAATCAGTTTATATAATTCATGGATAATCAGCCATAATTAATGGTATGATAAATCCGATGTAATGTGGGAAATACTCTTTTGAATGGGAAACCCAATAATGAACAATTGGGAACGAATAACAACAATGTGGTACACCCAATGCCATAAATCATCGCCAAAATCACCCTTTTTATGGGTGGTGTATTACAAGCCATCCCCCAAATGTTTATTATTGGGTTTCGGGTTTCCCACATTATTTAAATAAGAACTGAGTTTATATAACTACGAAGAACTGGTAGATGAACATCCGTTTCGAGTACAAGTTGGAGATTGGAAAAACAATCCAAAAAGTAGAGGTCTCACCACAGAAAATTGGGGTTTAATCAACCTGAATGGCATTGACTTCGGTAAATTATGGGAACCTCCCTGGCTGACCAGGCGGCCAAAATCAAGGTGGGCATGTGTCCATGGCAGTTTTTTGGGATATGCTTAGCTTAGCCATTTTCCAGAATTCATGTCATGACCACCCCAGATCTGCGAGTGTCATCCATTGTCCAGCTTCGGCGCGATGAGGTTTTCTCACACGGTTCCCTTTGATCCCGAAGAATTCCTCCGGCCTGTTCATCAGTCAGACTTGGTGGACAGGCCGCCATTTGATGGGAAAAGGTGTCTCATGGCGATCTATCATGGACAAGCAGAACCTTTGTTCTTTTTAATTTTTAATGATCTCGACTATTTACATTTCCAAAATGTTCGGTCTGAGACTTCCTGATATTTGCAGTTTCACGGTCTATTTGAAGAATGAAGAATCCTGCTTAGGCCATCCCTTTTTGGATGCAGCTGTGGGATTTTTGTGAACGCTGCTGCATTGCAGGTTTTATAGCAAGCTGGCAGCAGAGTATGAGGCGCATTGCGACAATCCTTCCATTGTTTGGTGCCTGGCACAGCACAATGGCTGGCTTCAGTAGCTCATCTTCTGGTCATCAAGCCATTCTTCTTGCATACGGTCTTTCCAGAAAGATCAAGGCACAGGATCCTGAAAACAACAACTGATGCAAAGAAATCCCCAAGAAAACACAAACATGATGCATTTTCCGGCATTTTCTGTTTGTGAAGCCCAACTGAGTCAGGCGGCCGCTTCAGCTTCTGCTTCTGGACTTGCAGAGGAGAATGTCCAGCCAAAGATGACGCCACAAATCTGGTGATGGTTTTGATCTGAAGCTATCCACTTTTGGATCTGAAATCATGACATGTTTCGGATCTGAAAGTTTCAGAAAGCATCCATTTTTTTTGGATCTGCAATCACGTGGAAACCTGGTTGAAATGGAATGGGCTTGGAACGTCAGTGGATAGGCGTCCTGAGTTGGTCAGATAGCCTGATCACATCATTGTCGCTTGCCGTTTCCCGAAACAAATGGGTCTGTGCAAAAGTGGGTTATGTACCTCAAAACAGCAAGTCTAATCAGGAAGATGATGATCAATCAGTAAATTTTCGGGTACCCTATCAGACAAACCCAACTGTGGGCCTAGTTTCCTCAGGAGGGACTCCTGCCCTGGCGTGAGTCTGGTGTTGGGTGCCCTGAGCACACCTTGCACATCACCTTGGTCATCAATCCATGAAACTGTATCTTTATGGTGAAGTAAAGAGTCGTAGTAGGCAATACATGTAGAGATTCAGATGTAGTTCAAAAGATACTTCAAGGATCTTCAAGGTGGCAGTAGGAAACGGTCCATCTATTTTTCCAGCGCTGAGAAAGTTGATCTCAAACATGGCTGGAGCATCCCCCCAGTTTTTCGTTCGATGATTTTCCCAGCGAACGACACCTCCATAAAAGGCTGAAATTCGCCCCAGCATGAGGCGGCCTTTTCCCTTTCGCCCACCACGAGATCTGACGCCATGGCGCAGTAGTGGCCTCAGCCGGGAGGTTGAACAAGGGAAAACATATGAACCGTGGGGATTTATATAGCCATCAAATCGCAGCTTTACAGAAACCAGGAAAAAATTGAATTTTACCCATGAAGCCTTGGGTCCCAGAAGCAGCAGACATTGGAATTTTCGCCAGGTCCCGGTCCTTTGGCCTGGCTGTTGGAACCTCGGATGACTGTTGGTTTGCTCCAGAAGGACTCAACTCATTGTGTCAAGGAGAGTTCTTATGGTCACTCCCGGAAGGCAGGATGTGGAGCCGTTGGTCTCAGTTTGGCAGGGGCTCCACCCATTCTTGTGCCAGGGCAGCAGTGCTGGCGGCGAGGCCGCATCCTATGGCAACTTAGTGGACGCGCAGGAGCCTGGTGCCATTTGGGTCTCAGGAAGCCAAGGTCCATAGATCGGTGAACCCTCCCAGTGCATTGGGGGTGCCCAGGACACCGACTATAGTCACTTTAGTCATTTCACTTCGAAGCTCGGCGCTGAGAGCAGTGGATGGGCCACAGTCGAGATGTGTCCTTGGATAGGAAACGCGTTGAAAACCACCAGATCATCCGAACTTTTGGTCAAAGTGGTGCCAGTTAGAAGTTGACTTATATATATATAGATTATATATAGATATCCCCATCAAACTTTGGTAATATGTATCATGACCCTAATCCTGCAACGCGAAACAAATCCCTGAGCTGGGCACAGGTTGACAGATGCAGATGGCATGGAAGCCCAGGTTTTTGCGTGGTCCAAAATCTGTCCCATCCCCATTTCTGGTGAAAGCGCCTGGAGAGTGTCGTGTGTGTTTCCTTCACAATGCCACACGATGTGAAACAATTCCCCTCTGGCTATTTAACATAGCCATGGTATAGATGACCCATAGAAATAGATGATTTTCCCAGCTAGAAACCTCCATTTATTTTGGGGATTTTCCATGGCTATGTTAGTCATAACCAGAGGGTTTTTTTCGTTTATGGATGTTGTAAACAGAGTCATGAGAGTACCATAGAGTACCCCAAACCCCTGGTGACGACTGGGTCTCCGCCATGACACCGAGGTCGTTCCCTTAAGGCTGGCCTCAGTGAGCAGTTTGCTCCATTTCTTGCGACAAACAAATGGCTCAGTCAATGGCAATTGGTTGATTCAGTTTATTCAGTTTCATCAACCAAATCTGCAATTGGTTCTACTGCGTATTCCTGACTGAAAAATCACTTAAATCCATGGCAAGCTGCATGGAGTTGCACCTTTCAGAGGAAATAGTCGACAAAACGCACTCCTTTCGGGCACACTCTGTGTAAGTTTGTTGGACATTTCGCTTGGCACAAGAAAAATCACCGGCAAGCCCGCCAGGTTCATACAGAGCCTGAGGCAGGATCCAGTGGGTTGAGCTGGAGGGGATCAACTCAGCAGGCCATATGTCTCCCAAAATGCAGAGGTAGGATGGTTTTGTCTGCCATTTTCCCAATCGAATCATTTTAGCATCGCATATCTATGCCATGCCATGTCGCAGTGTTATTTTATTTGATAAAAAAAAATCAATCATTCCCAACCACATCTCTAGAGTTCCTGTCCGATTTGTAGAAAATTCATTCCGTCCAACCATTGCCAGGTCCTCCAATTGGAGCACCCGGAGCGCACCTTGGCGCGCACCGCCAGCGACCGGGAATCCATCAGCGATGGCCTCGCGAGCCGTTCGCCGGGCTCGGGACGGCCGTCGGCGGCGCCGACGGTGACCACCGTGGCGAGGGCGGACCGCAGGGGCTCCCGCAGCGCGCCGTTGATCAGCTTGGAGGATCTTGAGATTGAACAGGTGGGGGGATTGATGAAGGGAAAAACGTGAATGATTTAGCTGGTAAAAACTGGGGGTGTCAAGAGTACACTTGAGTTTCACCTGGTAAAAATTGAGGTTGACCTGGACAAAAATTAGAATAGCGCTGTATAAATTGGGATTTGCCAGATGGGTCATGCCACCGATTGAGATAATCTTTGCCACCCCTTAACTTTGGAGCAGACCCGCTGACAGGTGGAGCAGGCGGTCATTGTGACGCCCACCAACCAGCTGAAGCAGAAACACCTGGTTTTTGCGATGGTGCATGAGGATGGAACTGGGACTGGGAGGAAAGACAGATTGTGGAGGATCGAAGCACCGCATGGGACATTTGGGCTCAAAAGAGCTGTGCTTTTGAGAGGAAACCCTCCCAACCCTCCCAAATTCTTCTGTCAACATTGGCGCCAGGAGGAACAGCCTGTTTTAAAGCCGCAGCTCAAGTCCGTCCACTTCGTGGGGGTGGATTCCAACGTGGCACCTGAGGTCTGTTGGTGGTCTACCCATGTGAGGAAAACGCCCAGGAAACCCAAAAAGCAAAGGAAGTGCCCGTTCTCCCCATCCCAGAATCGAACATTGACAAGAAAACACCTACATTTGGCTGCTGAGTCCATGGCTTTCTGTGAAATTTCCTTCAATCCAAGATCGGCAATCCAAAATCTTTATCTTATATATTCGATTTTGGTTGGTTGAATCGCCATTTAGGTTTGTCCAAAAGTCCGGTGTACATCGAAATTGCCAATTTCAGAGAGAAAGTGATCATAAACCATGCAATTTGGCTTTGGTTTTTCCATGTTTTTCCCCAAACACTTTCAGACAAAGCAACTTCTGGTGGAAGGAAAATCACCGTGGCTTGCTCAAATTTCCACCTGGGATACCATGGGCTGGGCGAAGTCATCCATCCATTGGCGAAGGAGAGCCCCAACCGAAACCGCCTCTCTACTGGAGCCGGACCCCTGCCTCCCAGAGAGGTGCAGATGGGTGGTTCCTGTGGATTTCGAGGGGGTTCCAACCATCCACAGTTATCCTTTTGGTGGTGGATTTCACAAGCGTATGGAAAAAAAAGGTAGAGATTATGATGATTATGAGATATTTCACAACATGTCAGATTTATGAGATTCGATGGATGGTAGACAGACCCACAGGACACCCTGATTTGAGATTATGAAGCAGCATCAGTAAGAACATGGGATGCACATCCATTTTGGGCACGGTCCATTCTAGGGATGGTTCAATCCAATTCATAAATACCGATAATCTAAAAACCCAACTGGGCGTGGCTGAACATGGGGTATACATGGGTATACCGCATACCATATACACCCATGAAGGCATTTTAAAGGGGAAGATGGGGATTAGCCATTGGATTTTGGGATTCCTTATTTTCAGTGAAACCCAAGGGGAATGGCCATGGAATGATTGCTTGACTACCCCAAGGCCGATGGAAGACATCCTGAATTCCCACGGTAGACCTTTGCACCGGTGAAGTGGTGATATCTTTCATTATGGAGTGATGATGAATCAGTTGAGTTATCCGCACCCTATTTTCAGACAAACCCATAGCCAAGACTAAGGCTGATAAATGTTTTAAATCCTGACGATAGGTTCGCAAGGTGCTCTGCAACTGTCCCAGTTACAACCGATTGCATCCAGCCACTTCAGTGGGAGGTTTCTTCGTGGGGCGAAGTTGCTGATGTTATGAGCTGTATCAAACTAGGGACCCTTCAAATCAACCAATGATACCAATGAATCTAAGATGTTCAATTTGCAGCCTTGAATAGACAGCTCACATAGCCACATAGCTCTTGAATATTCACCGCAGACGCTGACAGGAGAAGGAAGTGGAAACTTCAGCCAGTGCCCCTCTCAGGGATCACCACAGTCAGCTGAACTGACAGCATGGTTATAGCTGCCCTGACTTGAAAAACGACTTTCTTTCTGTTTGCAACGGAAGATTTTTGAGGAAGCCGTTAAAAACAGAACTGAATGGGGTTGATTACATATGTATATAACTAACTGTATATACTTATTGTTTTATATCAAACACCAAAATGAAATACAGAACCAGAAGACGGAGTTTGGCGTCCACCACAAACATCATGCCTTTCAGGTAACGTCCCTTCAGAGGCTCCCGCTGGATCAAAATCCGCGAGTGGCACCTCTGAGTCGAATGTCCAGGCAGAAAGGGACCGAAATGGCTATGGCTTTGATGGGAGTAAGTCAATCAACGTGGGGATATGGGTGACAATTGTAACGACCTCACTGCAACATCACTCAAAATATCTCAAAATAATGCTTACTAAGGGGAACTATCCCCAAATCACCGTCTTTCAGATTGTTGAATAGTGAATGATAATAGTATATAACTCAATAGCAATAAATGATTTATCCAGGGTTACAGAACTCCGACTGAAAATAGAAGAGGATTCACTCCGATTGACCCCAGAAGAAATTGGACGGTCAATGGATGTGGTTCTGGCGGTACCTCACTTTGGGCTGCCATACCCAAACGTGAAGTCCACCACACTGGGGATGTGGTTGTGTCATTTGGGTTTGTCCAAAGAAAGGGTACGGTATACGCAATGTGTTGGCCCTGCAGATTGGAAACCATTATGACATTATGACATTTTTATAAATACACCATGGATTTTTTGGGTGGTCTATTTTTGGATACGCCCATCTGAAGGAGTTTTGTAGAAACGCCCCATGATTGCAGGATGTCCACATAGAGCTGGAGATCGAGGACGTTCAAGCTGGGGCAACACCGGGGAAAGCTTTGGATGTTTCCGCTTGCGCATTTTCAATGTCTTCACCAGTGATTTGAAAGAGTGGAACATGGGCCTAGTAGCTTCGTTTTGCAGCGCGGACGTTGCCTACGATGCAGGCAACGTTGTTTTGAGTTTGGGATCAATCCTAGAATCTATTCATCGGCTGTCTCCTGCTTTCATTTCCCATGTGGACTCACCCTTTCAACCTCTAGGACAAGAAGACAGAGAGGCGGCGCGATGGGGTGACCCTCTCCTTTGGGATTATCCAACAGATTCCAAGGGTTCATTGTTTTGGGGTTCTACATCATACATTTGCATCAGTGGTTGGTCGTGTTATGTCGTGTTTAGTAACGCACGAATCTCATTTTCAAATACACCAATAGAGCACAACAATGTGATTGCTGGAGTTGTTCCCCTTGACAAATTTGATGGCGCTGCGAATGTTTGCTCCTGATGTGTTGCTTCTGACTTTCGGGATCTCACCAAGCATTGCACAGGGCTTGGTTTGTGTATTTGTATCTATGCATGTCTAGAATCTCCATGACTCTTACACCCTTGCTTTGACCCCATAAACTGGAGTTGGAACGTTAACCAAGGGCTTGGATTCAAACTGGCACAGGCTGCTCAGATATACACATATGTCATATGTCATCTCAAAGAAATGTGCATACACACTATGTTTCAAATATACATGACAGTCCTCACTGTTTGTCATATGCGCAAAAATGTGACATCTCCATGTACATATAGAATATTAGATATATGATGCATATAATATATATATATATACTGTATATTTTTCATCAACATATACAACTAGAAACATGAACATGGGTTTCTCTGAAACTAGTTGTATCCCCAAATTGACAGGCGCAGCTCCGGTTCATCCTCCAAGTCGGCCAAGGGTTCTCCGTGACATGGCTTGGAGAAATAACATCACTGAATCATTTTCTGTGCGGATATTTTTTCGACCAGAATCTGTGTGGAAGAGCTGGAACAACTGGTTCTTTTTGGGCGTTCTGATAGGCCTCCAAGAACTTTTCAACATTGAGACAAACTGATTTTTAGTGGTGGGATGACACAGCTACACTGCCGTTGCGGGCATTATTTGTAAACCGTTAAACCCTGCGGCCTTACGGAGCAAGTGGAAGTTTTTGAGTTTATTCTGAAGGGGGAAGCAGCTACCACCACCATTTTGATCGAACCAAGTGTCGGATATGCATCATTTATCCGATACCCCTTTTAGATCCTTTGTGTCTTTTTGGTCCTCCTCCATTATTACTATTTTGATATACATAGAACAACCCCACATGGAAATCCACACTTGTAGCCGACCGTATATTTCTTTAAGACCCAGTGGTACGAGTTAAATATCAATCTTTGGTGTTCAATTCGTTAATTAAATCTCAGTATGCCGAGTTATCCATTAAGTCATTAAGTCCCATTAAATCCCATTAAATCCCATTAAATCCCATTAAATCCCATTAAATCCCATTAAATCCCATTAGTTCAACCAGCCTTTCTTTGATCAATGGAACAATCTCCCCCAACCCCAGACTCCAGACGCTCCCCAAGGCGCATCAGTGATGAGGAGGCCTTGGCCGCTTTGGAGGCGATCCGGAACCATCATGGCTGGTTTTTTAGGCCAAGATCTATCCATGAATCAATTGGTTGATAATGTGGCTCTATATATATATAGAATTATATACATATGATCATTGATGAATCATCTATCTAATTGATATATGATTGAGAATAATTTGATCATATATCAAACTGTCAATTGGATCATATTTGATCATCGAGTGGATATATCCATCAATCATATATCAACTAACGATCCCTATTTATCATCATCAATTGGATAGATGGTCAGGTGGCACAATGGCCTCCTCCCAAAGAGAAACACGTGGAGAAGGCTTGGGAGAGCAATTTGACGAATGGAGGCCCAAAATGTTTTTTTTTTTGAATATCCTCAGAATCCACTGGTCTATCTGTTTCATCATGGACTTTTCAACGCCAAATTATTGGTAAAGCTTTGGTGTCGACCCCCTATTCCAAGGCAAAAAACTGGACGTTCCGCTGGTGGTTTTTCAGCAGATCCAGCACCCGTTGGGCTTTTTCAGAGGTCTCCACTTCGGCCCCTGTGACCATGGTTACTGGACGATATGTGGACGAGGAGCTGTTTCTTTCCGCCTCGCAGCGGCCATTGGTTTGGCTTTTTTTTTGTGGAATTTCTTTGGCAGCTGGAGATTATTGATGATATTCAGCCGTACATATGGGGAGTATCAGATATGGGGAGTATCAGGAAAACTATTTCGTTTTTGGTCATTGAGTCAGTGCTGCTTTTTTGCAATAGATTGGCGCATATGACTCATATGACCAGTCCTGGGAGATAGTAACAACGACAAACCAATGGTGGCAATCCCATCCAATATTGATTTCCACCATTTCGACCCCCTGAATGATACAACCCACCTGCCAGGTATCACACTCAGCCAACATTGAAGTGGTGGATAGCTAAAAAAAACATGGTGATTTGTATGCGTAATGATCAACAAAGCATAACCCCCAAAAATTCAATCTTATTCACTTATTCGCTGTTTTTGGGACGTTTTGGTTTTGATTCAGTGATCCATAAAGATCCACTTTAGTGCCTTAAAAAGCCCCCATTTCCATAATGCCCCGTAGATCCAGGAAAATCTTAACTGGAAACCCATGGCTTTTTACCATCAAATATAGGGTTTTCCTGTAAATTTCCCCATCATCCGATTAACTATGGTTTATGGCAGATATAACGAACTAGTTAATGGGATTTATAAACCAACAAACATCACTGGGGGGGCACCATCCTGTATGATCTTCCCGAAATGGATTCCTCCGCGAGGACACCCCGGTCACGCCATTGCCATCGCCACCCATCGCACCGGCCACGCCGGCGCCGGCGATGACGCCGGGCGCCAGCCCGCCGCCGTCGAGGAGCAGGTTCCGCCGGCTGGGGTTGAACGGATTTTTTTCGTGCGGCGAAACGGGAAAAACCATGGAAAACCATAGCAAAATGTGGATGAAACATGATGAAACATGATGAAACATGACTGTTGGACACGTCACTTGAGGGAATCGTCAAACAGCCGATTTCCGAGGGCGGCAGCTGCAGCCGCTGCAGCCTGGACAGGCGACAGTTTTGTGGGTTTTTTTGTGGGGAATATCTAGGAGTTCATCATTATCCTATGGATTTGATGGGGAAGTTTTTTTTTTAAAATGGGTTTTATTTATGGACATCTTTATCTGGAGGTTCATCAACAATGGGATATTCACCGTGTTTAATGTGGGGATGATGGGAATAATGGTGAATATAAATGGTGAATGTCCCATTGTTGATGATGACCATGCGTGTTTTCAATGGGACATCGACCATTTTTATAGTCCAAGCAATGGATTGAATGGACGGGAGCCAGTGGGAACCATGTTTTTTTAACCAATTTTTGTGTGATAACTACATCAATTCGGTGAAAGAAAGTCGGGAGCAACCATGACGTTGTTTAAATATTGACATCTAGTGAATCTAGTGACATCGAAGTGCTGAAATTGTTTGGTACCAAGAATCAGCCAATAGTCAGCACCAATTAGGTAGTATTACGGTATGCTGTTCCACCACCCGCAAATGGTCAGTCATTGGATGCTGATGTGGGGCAAAATTCAAAAGCACCCAAAATAGATGGTTCAAGGTCCAGAAAAGGATGAAATGTGCCCAGCTTGTTTTTGAGGCACAGCCATGTGGGTTTTCCCCAAATTGGGGTGCATCTAAAATCCAATAGTTTATCATCATTCTCCCCAGGACATTGCAACAACATGGGGTATCCCAGATATTCAGAAAAATCCACATTTTAACCAGGTTGTGATCCACAACATATCGCAGATATTCAGAAAATCCACATTTAAACCTTGCTTAACCATGGTTGTCACCAGATATTCATTTGTTGTTTTTTTTTGTGTTCAACCATGATTTTGGTGATCCACGGTGGCCGGTTTATTTGTTGGGATGGTTTGAAGCCATCACTTTTGGGGATGGTTGGTGATTGTAGTACACACCATAAACCATCACAAATTTGAACAAAGATGGGTTGTACAAACCATTCCAATTGGAGGTTTTTTTATATATGTGGTTATTTTGCTGTCATTTTTTTTGGCCCCAATTCTATTGGCACAATATTACGGGGTATTTAGTTGTCCAGTGAGACTTCAGGAGTTTCAACGGAACTGAAATCATTCACCAAGCGAAGCCATGACACCGAATAAGTCACCTGAATATACGTATATACGTATATACGTATATATATATATATACATACCCAATAGATATCACGCTTTTCTTTTTACGGCTCATACATCCCCCAAGGTGAATGATTCCCCAAATAGTTCACCCAAAAGCAGTGCGCAACACATTTCATTCCCGAATCCCCAACACATCTCCTTACTCAAATGATGCATCACCAAATACATACATAGATATATATATATATACATACATATCATACACCCAACAAATTTCGATAAATCCCCAATCAATCCGCAACATATCTTCCAAATATACCCCTTAAACATATCCCCAACGGGGCAGCTGTCGGAAGGTGCAGCCTCTGGTGCGCGTTCTGCCATGGCAGCGGCTGGCAGCCGCGTGAGTAGCGGAGGCAATGGCTGGTGGATTGTTTCTATATGTTTAGCTGGAGGTATATTCATACAATGCATATAAAAGGCATATACATGTATATATATATATATATATATGTTACGAAAGCCAGCTAGCTGGCTAGTTGCTGTTTGCGAACGAAGTGAGAATAGGGGGTGTGGGGGGGGGTGGTTGCCGAAAGGGAACGAAATCTCGCCGTGCCCCTGTGTTGAGCGCCAGAAAACGGAGCATTTTGCTGGATTATGTACCACTAGGTAATTTGCTGACGGTGGGGTATCGATTCCCCCT